TTTTTAGATAAAGGGTAATTCTAAAAATACTTTTTAAATATTATTTAAAAAGTCATATTATAACTTATAAATAAAATTAAATAAATATTTTAAAATGTGTCTTTATGGAGGAGTATTTAAGTAACTCTCAAAAGTATATTAGAATTATATTTGAAATATATTTTTGTCAAATTTAATAAACAATAAATCCTTCAAATAAACTTTTATTAAATATAAATTAAAAAACAGGCACGACTTCGACAACTTTGGGTGATTCGCTTCCTTGGGTGCGCTGTGCACGTTAAGCGCGGGGTAGCAAAATGGGATCCTATTACTGCTCGGCCACAATCCAATACCGACTGCTAGTGCAATAGCTCCGGGGGGGACCCAAAAAAAAAAGGGGGGGGGGGGAGAAGAAGTACGAGTAGCCGCATAGGTATTTCCTACATTGTTCATTTCAGTGTGGAATTAAAAAAAAGTTTGTCTTGACTCTTGACCATCATTTTAGAATTTAATTTTTGAATGTGTACAGGAAAAAGCATCACTTTGAAAAAAACAATTCTGTAAATGGTACCGAGAGTTTTAAGTAATCAATTTCGCTACTGCCAGTTATGAGAATATCTTGAATGAAAAAGCAAGACAAGTTAATTTTAAATAAGTATATCTTTTAAAAAATGTCCTTTATATTTACCAAGAAGTTACTCCGTTGATTCTTTGTATATGACATGGATTAAAGTGAGAAATTAAAACTAGTTAACAATCTTAATCTATTTAAAAAATGACACCGTATTTTTCAACTATCACCCTTGAAGGGCGTGTGTACTGTTTTCTAAAAGCAGTTTGGAATAATTGAAATAAAGATATTTTCCCTATACAATAAATATCATAAATGCTACATTAAGTGATATTAGGAAACTAAAACAACCACAATTAAAGCACGTGAGATAATAATTAGGAAAATTTTCACTGAGAATATATTAACTCAATCTAATTTCAGTTAAAAATCTTAAAATTATGAATTTCCACAGCAAATACAGGAAATTAAAATAAAATTAAAGAGTTAAGTTAAATGACATCATTATCTCTAACATACAATTAATGTATAAAAAATAAATAAGTGATGCATGGAAACCAAAAAAATATTGTAAGTAAAATTTACAACTCTAAATAATAGCATAATATCAATATAAATATAAATAAGTAAAGTTAAGTGTATGAACAATTTATATGGAGAAAATAAATGAAAGTTGGAAATTCATACTGATGTTAACATGCTATGTTATTAATGAGAATTGTAAATTTAATTTACATTAATAATTTATTTTTTATATATCAATCATTCTTTTTCCCTACATGGATTGGTTTGGCACCTAACTTTATCAAAAATGATAAAGTTATTTTATTCCTCTTTAATTTTATTTTTATCCCCCGAGTAAACTTTCATAATTTTAATGTTTTTAAGTGATTTTGACTGAAATTAATTTATGATAGGATATTGTTGCGGCTTCATTAATTTTACAGCTTCGTTGAGTTTCAGGAAATCCATAATAGGTGTATCACAAGATTCGAGGAGATCGATCGCACTTGACAAAGATTGAATCGATATCGGGACAAAGATCATGCGAGGAATTCATGTTGAAATGCGATCCTTTTGCTGCTGAGGCAATGCGATTGCTTTTGCCTGATATGCTGCTACTGTATGAGCCAGTCGAATGGGCTAGAACTCTTAGTGTTCACTCAGATGGCAATTCGGAGCTTATGGGAGACAAAAGTTGCCTGAACCTTGTGATGCAGCTTTGGATCAAACCAAGCAGTATGTTCAAGCTCAGTTCAGAAGATTTCCAAAAGTGAGATCGATATCATACAAGAATTTCATTTCTGTTAAATGGATCAAATCTTTTTCCCTTGGATATGGATCTGCACGTCGTAAAGGCGATGTTGACAATTATGATATCGTTAAACGTGCAGCACTGGTGATAGCAGTGAAACTTGATCGTCATTGCAATTACGGACCAGAGGCCATGACTTAATCAACACCAGACATTGCACTTACCGTACGCAATAGTCACAAATAAAGGCGATGACCAAATCGAGATACATTTGGGAATTTCATTACGTGCTTTTGGAAGGCTTGTCTGCTAATCCATTAATAGCTGCATTCAAAGAGCTTGAAAACTTCTATTACTTAGGAAACATCCCTCTGTTATCGTTTCCTGGAAGAGAGCCCATGTCTGCATGTTCAAATGGTCCAATTTCAAAGCATCAGTGCAAGAATGGGGGATTCATTTCGCTTTTCAGTGTCTAGAATCAGTTATAACATTTCTGATATTTACAAAAAGATTGTTGGACCACAAGAAATATTGCACTTGAAGACCCAAGGCAAGGCATGTCATGTGGTAGCTGTTTTACCAGCATTATTAGCACCATCGTGAGTTATGTTTGTACGCAGGATACGTTCAAACGTTTAGTGAGTGGTTTCGCAGAGGTTTACAACATGGAGATAACACAGAGAGTTGGAAATATAGGCAGATCTGATCTTTAAGAGCCCATCTCTTATGAGCTCAGTGTCACGGGCTGAGAGTCTGGTGCAGCACACGGCGCCCGTGGCGTCTCAAAGACCCCATAATCCTCGAGACAAGCCTTACCACATACGAATCTTACTGGTTTCGCCCTGCCATGGGCTCATTAGGGAGGCGACACTAGCCCCTGACCAGTTGTGCACTTAGCCCGAAGACTAAAGCAGAACGCACCCAATGCCAATGTCGTCCCCTTTACCCATATTATGCGAGGCTAACCAGCAGATCGTTCATTACATTGGTCTTTACACGGTCACGAAGATATCATTCGTGACATTCTCCCACACCCAATCTAGCACGCCGTCGTGCTAGAGGGAGAAAGACTCTGCCCAAAGATCGCACATACAGTACTGCCACACAAACATCAACTTACCGCTGAATGGCCACCCGAGTCCTGCACTCTTAGGACCCACTCGCACCCGCGAGCCAACAGGAATGGAGTCGACCACGGCCAACCTTCTCGCTCGAGTCCCTATTTTTGGACTCACCTACACCTCGCAGGCCTTTGGAGCAATGCCGAGGTCAACTTGTCCCAACGTGGGACTCCACAGGCACACGGCAGTAAAGTACATCCCGCTCTGATACCACTCTGTCACGGGCTGAGAGTTTGGCGCAGCACACGGCGCCCGCGCGGCGTCTCGAGGACTCCATAATCCTCGAGACAAGCCTTACCACATATGAATCCTACTGGTTTCGCCCTGCCATGAGCTCATGAGGGAGGCGGTACTAGCCCCCGACCAGTTATGCACTTAGCCCAAAGACTAAGGCAGAACGCATCCAATGCCAATGTCGCTCCCTTTACCCATATTGTGCGAGGCTAACCAGCGGATTATTCATTACACTGGTCTTTACACAGTCACGAAGATATCATTCGTGACATCAGGCTCTTAAGGATCAAGCCCTAAAGTCCGATTTCTCATTTTAAACCTCATTTCTCAAACCCAACCCTTATGTGAAGGACTCAAGGCCGGGCCCACAAGCCCTTTTTTAAAAATAAAAAAATAAAATTAAAATTGAATATTATAAATTAATTAAAATATTCTGAAATTAAAAAAATAAAATTCTCATAATTTTTTAAAAATTAAACAACACACATTTAGAAGTTTAGTAATAAAATTTAAATTTTGATTAAAAAACAATTCATTTTTTATAAATATACAAACATAATAATTATAGAGAAATAAAAAATATCAAGATTTTTATAAATACACTGATATTTATTAAATTAATTTTAGAATAAATTAAACTTAATAATAATATAATACATGTAAGATCAAGTGAGTAGATCATTGACTTTAAACACACGTTCCACCAAAAATATTAATAATAATAATATAACAAGGCTTGAAGGGCTACCCGAGCCCGAGCACTTTTTTACTGGACTTATCAGGACTAAGCCCTCAAGCCTGATTATTTTAAAAAAATTATTTTTAAAGCCCGAACCCTTATTTAAACAGGGTCTCTAGACTCGACCCTTTAGCTTCTAAATAATAATAATATAACAGGGCTTAAAGGGTTACCCGAGCCCGAGCCTTTTTTTACATGACTTATTAGGACCAAGCTCTCAATCCCGATTACTTAAAAAAAAATTCATTTTCAAAGCCTGAACCCTAATTTAAACAGGACCTTCAGGCTCGGCCCTCCAGACCTGACCCTTATTTCTAACTCTAGTGACATATCTATTCTTCATGCACAGAGAATTATGTTCGTTTTTTTTTTTTCAAATACCTTTTTTTTTTTCGGTTTACGTGGGGAGGTAAGATTGTGAGAGGATGGAATGCCAGGTTACATCGTATCATCAGAACTTCTTAATTATTAATTTCCGCTTGTCATTTCCTCACCGCTGATTTTCTTTAATCCTTTTCGTTGCTTATTTTAATTTAATTTTAGCGCATCGTAGTTAAAATCAACACCCTGTGACTAAATACGTTATTGTCGGTAGTTATACTTGAATTTAAAAGGTTAAACAGCTAACTAGAAGTCGTCAAGAATTTTATCATACTTGAGGCAAATTTCCTTTTCCTTATGTTGGATAAACAGGTGGGAAAGAGATTGCTAACCATTGATATTAGGACGAAAATAAAAGGATAAAATACTTTTTTAAACACTAAACTATAAGAGTTAGCTGAAACTGAATGAGTTAAGGATCATTTGGAATGCGGCCACGTCACGTGCAAAGCAGCAAGCATAAACATATAAAACTGCGTTTAACCAGATAAAATTTACTGTGGGTAAGACTGTGTTTAGTACATAGAAAGAGGATTTAAGAAAAGGGAAAATATGACGGAAATTATTTTAGTTGTATTAGATAAATAGCAAAGTGGCTTTCTATTTCCAAGAGCTTCCAATATTTATGAAAGAGAGCTTTCTCATCCCTCCTGTTTTCTGTTACCATTTCATGACACGAAAGTCCTAAGCGCAAATCATCCATCAGTCATATGTGAATAATAACTAATAAGGATGGAATGGGATAGAAACCATGATAACACTGTCAGAACAAACTAGAATGTCAAGCCAAAATCTACCGCAAAGTTGTTAAAGAAATCCATAAGATCCGCCATTCGGAAACTGGGAACTTCGACTAACTTCTCTTTCTCCTATATGAACTATTCAAGGCAGGAAAAACGATAAACCTAAAAAATGACCGCAAGTCTGTAACAAAAAACAAAGTGCGGTGCAATGGACAGAAGTCTCTCGCTTATTCATCAATAAATACTCCAAGAAGCTCTTCTCCTTTTTCTCTCTCCTCTAAGCAGACAGCGGCAGCAAATCCCAGCAACTAATCAACAGTTTCTTGACTTAGCATAAATATCTACACATAGACAAGAGCAGTTGGAAGACCAGCACCTTGTTTTTTGAAAGCTTTTGTTCACACCTGTTCATTTCCCTTAAGAATATTGTACTTGCAGAGAGGACAAGTTGCATTCATTTTCAACCATTTCACAATGCATGTAGAATGGAAATGATGGTTACAGGGTAGAGCATTGAGTTCTGCACCGTCCTCGTATGAAGTGAGACATATACAGCATTCCTGACAAGGGAAATGGCGAAACCGAAAATAAGCCCTCCTGGAAAACAAAGCCTAGCAGTGTCTATGTGTTTCTGTAGAAGAATGAAATATTCCTTTTCGTAAAAGGAACAAATACAAACACGACATGTAGAGGAGAGATTGGGTCTCCATCTTCAACAGTGTTTCTTGCATGCAGAACTTCCAAAAAATAAGGCAAAAGGTATAACGTGCAAGCTCAAGGGGAAACAACCAAGACTGCATATTACACTATGACTAGATCTTAATGAGTCCAGTGGGATGTTTAATCGACCGTAACTGCAGAAGAAGCTGATATTTTGCTTTCATAAACACTTCACAGACTTCATTGATTGAAGATAATGATAAGGTAATTTTCTTTTCTTTTCTAGAAATGAAAAGATTTTCACACCCTTGTAGTGTTCAAAGGTTGCATCTTGCACCCTCCAGGCAAGATAATGTAAATTACTCATTAAAGAAGAAAACAGAAAAAGAAGGAAGCCTTTAACCTACTCCCTTCTATCCAAAATATGAGCAGCTTTCACCAGTAATTCGTCTGTCAATAAAATCATTGTTCTCATGAAAATATATATTGTTTTCTCTTTTTATACTTTAGTCCTAATTTATGATGAGTGATAAGAAGGTTATAAATTCATAGTAAACACAAAAATTCAGGCTAATAAATACAATGAGTGAAACAGGAAAAAATTTCTACAACTACTAAATTGCTTATAATTTGAATCAAAATTAGCTTTACAAAAAAAAACAGCTTATATTTTGGATTGGAGGAAGTACTTGTTAAAATTTTCAGATGATAACGCCCATTACACTTTCCTGTTTTGCATTGAAGTTATTGGGCTCTATTTTTGGAAAGCATCAAACAATAATGCCTATTATTAGGAGGAGTGCCAACTAGCTAATACTCTAATTTACCACATATTCTACGCTAAGAAGAATGGACAGATTTCTTATGTGCATTGACGAAAAAATGCAAAATCAGGAATAATCCTTTTCATTGGAGCATAAAAGGTGAGCTTTGCAAGTAAAAGACTGGAAGAATTCAATTATTATCAGAACAAGCATACCGCATCTTCAGGTAGAAGTATTCTTTCATTTGCCAGGTACCCACTAGTTGTTTCTAAAGGAACCATTGATCCTGCTCCACCAGTAGGCTTTTCCTCATTGTTTAATATGCGAAATCTATATTTTGGAAGTAGGCTAAGATCTGCTTCTGATGCACCTTCCTATGTTTTCCCAGAAGGAAACGATGATAACGATTAAAAGCCCGCAACCATATGGGAATATGCAAGTCTATAACGTAAATGATTCTATCTTGTACCTGTCCAGCAACTGCGTAGAGAATAGCAATGATGCATGGCAAACAACAACAGAGGGCAATGCCAATCAAGCAGGCCAAAACAACACAAAAGATGGCAAAAAAGACATCAAATGCCAGAAAAACAACAGCCAACCTGTACGAATTCAAAACAGAGATCCCTTTAGTTGTTACTTAAAATTCAAAATTCACCATACAATAAACCAGCAACAGGAATTTGAGAAAAAAACTTCCTCCTAGGTTCTTTCTAAGGAAACATATAATTTAAAGAAGAAAGATTATTTATAGATGCAAAGATCATCTATTTGCCACTAACCAACAGCTTAAATTTTGGGGTATATCTTGAAAAGGATAAACCAAAAGCAAAGGGACACACAACTGCTTCCTGATATAAGAGGATAGGTCATGCCAACTAAAAAGGAAACAAAAAAATCAGCTACTTAGTAATTTAAATTTTCAAAGATGATTTCCTGAGAACTAGCAGTTACACATGCATAGAGAAGAGTGAACCATTATTGAACAGCTTTGAAAGGATCATTATAAAAAAGGGCAGGTTATAGAAAAGGAGATAAGAAGGCTGCGATTTAATTTGTACTGTGACAACATGCACTAATTCATGTAATGGGAGTCAAAATCTTTTGGTGGAGTTTCTGAGTGTATACGCAACAGAAAGATAGAATGAACTTGAAAATTTTTATGCATATGAATTGTCCATGCACACAATAATATCAAACTTTGTGTGGTTAGTATACAGAAGCTATTTGTAAGAGTCAATTGAAGAAGGCCTTACCAATACAAACGTGGAGCATCTTGCAGAAGAGTGTCACCACCTGAGATCACCCAATAAAAGCCAACTATCCACCAAAGGAATGAAACCATGGTATTCACTGATTCACATCGTTTCGTGAATCTGAGTTATAGGTTATCAAATCAGTATATACATCCAGTACAACTCGAAATAAGAATACAATGATAAGACATTATATATACCATATAAAACAACAGTAGATTAAAATGTTTTTGGTACTTTCATTTCCCCAAATATTGAAGTATTCACAAGTCTAGTCTTCAGATAACACAGGGTAATTACAGCATAAGGCTACATGTACTCACTTTTTCTTTGCCAAAATTATGAAGGGAAATATTGAATTCACTGAAACCTATGTAAAAATTGCCGGTAGTCTTGGAGAGTTTAAATTTTATATCCAAAATTGAGGATATATTTTGATGGTCTATTTCACAAATTGTCAAGAATAATAAAGCAAATAAGAAGACGTAATGAGAAAAGGCATATGAAAAGGAAGCTCATGAAGATGATTAGAATTGATGAGCTGCTGCATTGAAGGTAGCAAGAGTCAAGAAGATAAGGAAATGTACAAAAAACACACAGGAAGCAGAAAGAATACTAATTAACATCAGCTTGAGGCATTTTCTGATTTTCACTACACTTTTTCACCCTGAAAAAGTAGGGGTGCCTTGCCTAACAGCATGAACAACATAAGCAAACCACCACCCCAACTCAAATTCGGGAAATTCTTTTGATGAAGGGCATATAAAACAAACTCATTCAAAAGGAATATGGAATACGATAGATGGTTGCTTGGAATATCTATATTATGAATAGTTAGCCATAAGGGTATCACATGTATGTTGGTAATTTATCAAACATAATACATGCACGAGTACTTCAAGTTAATTGAAATACTATAATAATAAATGATGATTACTTGGCCAATTTTATTCAGACAAGTTGGATTTTACAATTTAAGAATGGATAGAGTACTTCATGTCTTCACTCTATGCATTAAAGAAAATGGCACATGTTATTACTGAGATAGTTATGTCGGTTGGCCCTTTCTTCTCCATCCCCACACTTTCTCACTCTCAAAGTTCTCCCAGTTTCTTTCACTCTCTTTTTTATTCACATCACTCTGCTGTTCTCAATTGTCCAACATCAGGTTCCATTTGCCACGTCCTAAACAGTGAATTAAAAGAATGACATTTTCGAATTGCAACCAGTAGCCTTTACAACGTATCTACCTCACTTTAGCCTGAGAATGCATAACAAGGTGTTAAAGATACCAATATGGAACCATACCTTCTAGCACAGCTTGAAGAGAAATCACATATTACATTTTTCAATATTCAGATTACAGTTGTTTCAAAGATTATCCAAATATAGCTGGTGGCGAGATAAAGAAATGGGAGCAAGCAATATAATCGAAACTACAAAACGGGAAACCGGGTGTGAAGAGAAATCATGGTGAAATTACTTGAAAATTTCAGCTCCAGGAGCAATAGAATTGAAACTCCAAAAATCAACAAAAAGAATGGTAAAAACGAAACTAATAACACAACCCACCCAGAGCGAGACGAATTCAATGAACTCCCATCTCCGGTTTCCTCATCCTCACTGTCGTTGACATCCTCGATATTTCGAGCTCCGGTATCCCCGTCCTGAGCCCTCCGCATCCGCGAAACCCTGCCAGTCCTTCTCCTATACTCGAGCCACACAAGCACCACATGAACCAAGCACTGCGCCGCATACCCACAGATCCAGACCCGGATCGGCGTGTTGGGCTTCTCGTTGGTCGTCAAAATAAGCATCACAAACGACACCACCACGAAGGCCATATTCCACGTGATGTCAAGAACCACGACAGGCTTCGAGTAGCCCCAATCGGCCCTTCGCTCTTCCAGCTCGCGAGCCGCCGTCTCCCTCACCAGCATGGAGGGTCCCCGACGGCCGACGGCCCGACCGAGAAGGAGCGCGAGGGTAGGAGTCCTGGGTGCATCAGAGGACCCCTGGCGGGAACGAAGAAGAGGCGCGCGGGGCTCAGCCGCCGACTCGGGAGAACTTTCCGACGACATGGCTAGAGGGAAAAAGAGCTGCGCATAATTGGAATTGGAAAAAATTGAACAGTGGAAGCAGTAGTGGCAGCAACAGCGAGCGAGTGACAAGTAATGGGGATTGGAGGCGTGAGAGCTTCAGAGGTAAAGTTATATAAAAAAGAAAAAGAAGGAAAAGAGCGGTTTCGGAGGGATAGCCGGATAGGGATACGTTGACAGGTAGATAGAAGGAAATGGTCGCTGAAACTCGGAGTTGGACAAGTTATAGTGATGAGGGAGACAATCGAAAAGCTGCCGATTCTGACACTCCCCGCATAAGTCTACTTTCATACTCAATTCTTCAGTCTAAAACCCGTTCTGTACTAAACAACATGGAGTAATTTCTGATTTTCGATTTATTTCTATTAGCCTCGTACATTATGTGTCAAAATCTTCATTCGCCAACTATGTCTATGTGCGCGCGGTTAACTTCTCTCTAAATCTACACAATGCATTTGGCTCATCACCTCCCATTTGATAATTTTTCTCTATCGAATATTTGCATAGCCTGTCCTCCTCCCATATCCCATATCTTGCTGTTATTCCGCTGTCATACTCTCTCATAATTTTAATGTGATATGGAGTCTTGATATTATGATGTAATGCCAAGACCCCACCTCTTAAATAAAATATTATATTATATTATTAATTATTGAAATTATAAAAGATTATTCAAATTTTAATATGATTTTTAAATATAATTTTCATAATTAAACATATGTGTTAAATATCATATAAATTTATTTCATCTTAGGTGTATAGATTTTTTTTACATACATTAAATTATTAATATTATAATATAATTTAAATTTCCTTAATTAGCCATGTATAAGTTAAATAGTATATTTTACTGGTTAAATAAAGTTGAATAAATTTAGTGACATTATATACAACTTCATTAATATTTTAATTTTAAAAAGAAATATTCTTTATGACAATTTACATGTCTAAAATTAATTCTGATTAAATCATCAAACTTTTTTAATTATATTAAAATTAATTTTAGAAAAATAATATTTAAATATGATTACGTTATAATATAATCAATTATAATTAAAATCTATTATATTAATTAATTTTTTCATAATCAATTATACTTAGTTGAAATCCAAACAGGGCCTTTCTTAATTCCTTAAACTCCATTTTTAAGACAACTATATGAATCAGTGTCCAATACCGAGCAATGCTTGATTCGGATGTAATAACTTCACAAATACTTAATTCATTTTAGTTTGAATAATTGATATTAATATTTCTATTAAGTGGACGTTATTTAATGGTTTATCAAATAAATGATGAGGTATTAATGGGATATTATTTTAGAAATATTGAATTAGAAAAATTGGATGCTCCCTCTATTCAAAAATACAAGACATTTTTTGAGATATGATATTTAAAAATATAATATTTTTTATCTTTTAATATGCAATTAATGAGAATTTTTCAAAAATATTCTTTATTAGATTATAAAAGAAATATTGTTAATGAATTGTATAATTGATAAAGTTTTTTAACCGAAGTATCCTCTCATACAGGGTAAATATAAAAATAATATATAATTTTAAAACAAATTAATTAATTTATATGAGTGTGATTCAATTGAAAATGTCTTGTGATATTAAATGAATTACGTATTTTTGTGATAAGCGATCAATTAATTAACAGATAAAACCAAAATTTCAATACAAAGGGCCCTGACCAAATCCCCGGCGAGTGGGCTTAGTACCTTAGATTTGAATTAGAATGCAGGTAATTCTTTAGCATAAAAGGAGAGAGAAGCTCATGTGAGGGCAGATTATACACATACCACTCTAATACAATAAAGGATTTTGGTGATGTATTTCTTATGATAAGTTATTTTTGAAATTTTTCATGATAAAAAATCAAAGTTGAATCGAACTATAACTATTCTGAACTCAAATTAATTACCTTCAAATCGAGGGTGGTAGGGAGATTTAAAAGAAAAAAGTAAGAGAAGCATTATAAATAACAATCGAGCTAATTAAGCTTAGGCCCAATAAAATGCATGGCATTAAATTAGACTTTTGTGATTAATACCATTTTAAAAATAAAACTGAAACCAATCGATACAACCTAGAGAATAGCCTTTATTAAAATCAAGCATCTAGAATTTCAAGTTTTACATAACCATAACCTTCTAATTTAAATCAATGCTTATTTTGGAAAAAAAAAAAAACTCCAGGCCTAACTATAAGTTGTTTCTTATAAATAATTTTTGAAGTAGTATTGATTAATCCTATAGGCTTACAAAACTTTAAAATTAAGATTGAGATGTTGCTGCTTCAACTATCATTATATGTTTAGCTGTTAAAAATGTTGTATTAAAATATTTCAAGCTCCCACGAAAAGCTCATGCTACAATTTTTTGTTTTTTTAATGAGTTTGAACATGTACCTTCCCAGCGTGGTTTGCCTAGAAACCATAGTCATTGTCAAATAAAGGCAAACATGGTTTTGAGTTTTGACTTTTGATACCGTCCCAAGCGCACTTATTGTCACCTCGTACGCGAGTCTTCATCATGATTTGTGAGGCATGTTTAGTGAATGTAAAAGGGCAAATATATATACTCCCCCTTATATATAAAATATTTTTAATCAAATCATATAAATTAATAAAAATTAATTATTTAATTAAAAATATAGTAATATTTTAATTTTATCCTTAATTATTGCAAATAAAAAATAAATCTTTCTTTTCAAAATAAATAAATGAGAGTACTTATTTTTTTCTTTCTAATTTAATAAGGCTATAATAGTTCATTTATTAAAAAAATATGCTAGTAATCTTTTATATTTAGAGATAAAAAATATTCTAAAAAGTCTCTTATATATATAGAGAGACTTAAGGAATATATTGGGAAATCAAATGTCTCTACACATGTTGTAAAATACATAATAAGTAGTGTGATTTAAGAATCGTAATAGAGCACCTTGCTTTAAATCAAGACAAACATTGTAGAAAGGTCAATTCTTTTTTTTTTTAATAATGGAAAGTTTAGATGAGTTGTATCAAGGAGCCTAAGAATTATGCATTATGTTGTATACCCCTAGGCTTAAAATTACTACAAGGGTACTTATAGACCTTATTTGGTGGAAAGGATTGAGAGTGTGGGGTTGGTATTGAGATTGAATAATCTCACCTTTTTATATTTGGTATGAGGAAATGAGAAATTTAATCTCAATTTCAAACCTACCTAGGTAGGATTACCCAATATCACCACTCCTTGATATTAAAAAATTAATCATATGTTTGATTATTTTTAGACCAAATTGCCCTCACTTCTCACCCTCATCTCTCTCCCTTAGCCCTCACTAAGTTGACGCACTTTCAGACCAAGCAATGCCACGCCGATGCCCATCTCATCTGCCCATACCAACTCTATCCTCCACTAATGCCACTGCTAGATCTAAAGGGAGAAGGAGGTAGAAGATAAAGTCATTAAATTGGTGATAACATAGCAGGGTATATCTGATCTACCAAATGAAATCACTATACTTGCCCTTAAAGTGTAATGAGTTCTGATAACCTGGACTTGGAGGTCGTGTGGTAGTGAAAGCAATAATGCAGCAAGCAAAAGGAGGACCTAGCTTTGTCCTTGTGAGAGAGAGGAGAGAGACCATGGTCGCAATTCACCATGAATGCGAACAACAAGAAGCTCAAGAATCAACCCATACATAGAGAGAGTAATGGGAAATAACAGAAAAAGGACACAAAGATTGTGTGATAGGGTCAAGAAGAAGAACGGCCCAAATTGCATAAGAACCAGCGATTTCTTCGAATGGGTAATAGCTTCTAATCAATTTTTTTTTATTTTATGGGGTATTATATTCTTTCATAATTTATATTTAATTATAAAATAAAAGGAAGAATTCTTTACAAATATTACTCCATATCAAATATAATTTTAAAACTTTATTCCCACTCTCAATTTTAGTCCCAAATACAACTCCTTTAAATTGAGACCTGCATACCAGATAAGGTCATAAATATTACTCTATATCAAATATAATTTTAAAACTTTATTCCCACTCCCAATTTCAGTCCCAACTACAACTCCTCTAAATTGAGACCTGCATACCAGATAAGGTCATAAATTGTTCACCAATAAAGTCTTCACAATGATAACGGGATTTAATCTTACTTTGCAGGTTATAGGTCAAATCTTGAATGAGAAAATAAAGTAGTGGTAAGGGAAAAAAAGGACTAGGAAGACAAAGTAATTATACGGTCCTTATGTTTATCCAAAATTTTATATTGGTCCTTGCAACACAGTTAGTACATGCCTAGTCAAAGCTGATTCCCTTGCTCACTTTGTTTGATGTTTTGAACCTCATGACTTGGTTCCCAACTCACCTCAAAGGCGATGGTTGAAACAAAAAACTCGTCTTAGAGATGAGCTAGTGCGGAAGTGTTCATCATAAACCTGAATTATTCCAGTTACAATTAAATAGTTTAATTTTTATTTCGATAGTGTGCGACGTAAGATAATGATAATATTCGAATTGTTGATACTTAAGAAAATAAAATTTTGAGATGGAGCTAAACAAATGAACACACACACACGGTTTAAATCTCATGTCAATGATAAGCCCAAGGTTTAAGACAGGAAAGGGACCTAGGTTGATTTATCTCCCTATTTTGTAAAAAGTTATTGCATTGTCTCACTTGTTTTTAATATGAGCCTATAATTTAGTTTTATTGCATCCATTAACACGCTAATGATAAGGAAAGAAAATCAATAAATTTTGAACAAGTAAGTTACATAAAAGATGAATAAAGAAGAGTTTTGATTACAAATAGTAATAAAGAACGAGTAAGAAACATGCAAGAGACTTACTTCTATAAATTTTTCAATGACAAAGAGAACTTGTCTAGTAACTTGAAAAATTTAATAACTTATGAAGGAGAATAAAATTTAGCATTATATCAAAAGATATGCAATAATGAAGTAAAAGAAGCTTTTGAGAAAATAATAAATGATAGAACTAATAGACCTAGTTGTTTTCTTATTGAAGTGTGAAAATATTTAAATGAAGAGGGAATACTATGGCTAATCAAGTTATTTAATGAAATCTTACAATTCAAAAAAAAAAAGCCAAACGAATGGCAAAAAAGCACCTTAGCTCCTATTTTAAAAAATAAAGAAAATATTTAGAATTATGCAAACTATAAAGAAATTAAACTTATAAGTTATATGATGAAATTGTGAGAATTAATTATTAAGCAAGGGTTAATATTGAAGGCTGGTATTTTTGAAAATCA